AAAATATTTGCACTTAAAATTATAAGTGTCAGTTTGTTTAAAAGTTGTATGCATTAATGCAATTAACGCACATATATTAATTTTCTTTACCGCTAAACGTTTCTTTCACGAGGAGGATGTTTGTTGTACAGATTTTATTTTGAAATTTCCTCGGTTGTAATGTTAGTTTAATTTAGTTTATCTCTTTCTCTAAAAATTCTCCAGGAAGCCCTTCGTAAGCACACAGTATAGACCAGGAGTTCTCAACCACGGGAGAGTTTCCCCCTGAGGGAAGATTCCATAATTTCAGGGGAGGTGAGGTTAGTCTTTTATTTAGCTGTTAAATATCTAGTTTTAGTTTATAAATATAAAAACCTACTTTTATTCAAGGTTTTGTATTTATCAACATTTTCTACACTTTTTGTTGTTTAATTTACAAAAGACATTAAAAATTCATCTAAAGCTAGATAAATGCGCATATTTATCTTACGAGTTTTGGGGATGGAGGGGGGGATAAACTTTTAGCAAAGGTGAAAGAGGTGCATGAGGCAAAGTTTGAGAACCTCTTGGTATAGACTTATTGTTCCTCATACATTATCATGTAAGCGGCCTTAAGCCTTAATCATACCTATGAGCTTTGTTTTAGATCTCAATATTTCTTTAATTAAATAGCTCCACTAAGCTCTGTTAAGCCTCTAATGGCGGTACAGGAAACTCGACCAGTCATACCTATGAGCTTATCTGTATGGAAATAATGCCCTTGCTGAGATTGAATCGCTGATTAATGTACATCTTTAAATAATGTATCACTAAACAGTACAATATAAATAAGTTCACTAGGTCTTAAACTGAAGTATTTGGAAAGATGAAACGTGCCATAAACTGAAACCTATAAGTAAATACTGCGTACTGTAAAATGTATTATGGCGAAAGGACAAGGGCATTTAAATTTCACGAATTGTAAGCAACTGTTGTACAGTTACGTACTGAGATTGTTTCTAAGGTTTCAACACCGTCATAACGTTCCTTTCTAAGAATCCGTTTTCTTTGGTCTTTGATTTATTTGAAATATCATCTAAATTTTATGTAGTTTCCATATCAAATTTCACTGCTCTAGTAATAAAATATAGTTTCATATTTCAGCACGCAGAACACATTTTTGCTCTAACAAATAACCTGGTTAGAACAAATGCTTTACACGATCTTTGTTTAGACATTCTAATACCTGTTATCAAAACTCTACAGTCAGGAGAGAAACGTGTTTAAGTTCTTTACATTCTAGGTTACCTCTGTTCTCAATCAACGCCTTATTAATAATAAAACCTACTAACCCAGCTTTAATACCAGCGGCAGACAAGCGGTTGATCGACGTACAGTAGGCAAAAAGGAGGTAAATGTACAATGTTTAATTTTCTAAGAATAATATACTGGACTTTATTTAGTCTATACAAACACGGAAATCTGTTTCAGTTCGATGGTAAGTATGGAAGCGGAAACTTTCACAATTTATTGTGATCTCTTGGAAAAACTGCTCATGCATGGAAATTAATATATTTTGCGAAAGGGAAGCTATCGATTCTTTGACATATTACATCGATTAATTTATGCCAAAATATAAAAGTTTTCAATTGTTACTAAAGAAACCTGAGCTTTTTTTTTTTTTTTGCTAATAAATTTCAGTGTTGAAATAAATTTCTAAATAAGTAAAATCTCAGCAATAATTTCGGATTGATTTTGTTTAATTTTCTTTTATTTCGAGCATAAGGGCTTAGGACTATGATACTCAGTTTGTCAAATATATATATAAAAAAAAGGTTTTTATGCAGGTAATAATTCTCTAATTAATTGATAATTGTTTTATTTAAATGGGAATGTAAAGGTCACTCTAGGAAAGATGCTCGTGGCAATGCTTAGATAAAATAATTAACATTCTAACGATAACAAACCTCTTCCTCCCTGGTATTTAACGAAAGAATATATAAATGCAGTTTTAATGTAAAAATGTAGTTTTTCAGATCAGATCTACATTGTTTTACGCAAGTGATTTATGAAAAACGCTAACAGATTCTCATATGGCTATATCCTATATTTTTTTTGTGTTCCAATATTTCGTCAAAGAGTGACAGGAGTTGTTATTATCATATTATAAATCTGAAATTCTATTGCTGTATATAAAAAAAATAGTGTTCTACGTGCTGCATCTAATAAACTTCATAGTATCCTCATGATTCGTCTAAAATCAGCAAATATTATTAAATGTGACAAAAATTACGTTTTAAATACAACTGATTATAATTTATTTTTTACGTGCTAATAATTTGTACAAAAATATTACTTTCAGTATAAATCTTTAATACCTTAAGAGTAGAGACTACTAGACCATTCCGGAAAGAGAAAGGCGAAATATCAACTTTTCCGCCGCCTGGATTCGATATTTCTACTGCTAGCTCTATATGTTAGCCGCTTATGAAAGCACGCACGGGCCAGTACCATAATTCATATACATAATTGTTTCAAACATTTGGACTTTTATCGCATCTTTGCAAACTGGGAATATTCTAACAGATAGCTTTTCAACATATTTCAATACGGTTTGTCTCCATCCGTTAAGTAGAGCTTCTCGTAAATATTTCAGATCTAAAGGATTAAATTGAGGGTTTTCATAAAAACTTAGTAGCGTTTAAGACCGGATGCTGGGAAAGATACCGCATTATTTTAATTTCAAGATCTTCGAAATTTGAAGTTTATTTCAACATAATGGAGAAATATATTTTGAGGCTGTTTTATGTGGGGAATTCAGATTTATGTGGCGATTACTTGCAGTAATATTATCCTCCTACTTTTTTCAATGCGTTATTTCTATTTCAATTACCACCTGCATTGCATTCAAGACTTTCTTACATAAACATGAAATCATCTTCAAGCTCAACAGTGAGGATAGAAAAATCCCAAAGAAATTTTTTCGGCTTTGTTTGTTCTAATTTTCTTTTCCTTTTCGCCTCAAATTTCCCCTTCTACTATCAAGAGTTCTTAAAAATGATATTTCGACAGCTACATATCCTTCCGGTCAATGCTCTTAAAGTCTTCTTTTCCCGTTCTCTGGAGTATACCATATGACGCCGAGATCTGTTCGAGCTTAGAATGTTTAGAAGTTTAAGTAATGTTTAAAAGAGATTGCATTTGCTTGCGATGTTAAATGTTTAATACCTGAAATTATTTTTGGTTAATGAATACTATCTCCCTTCTCTGGTTTCATTAAAGTAGATACACACAATACTCACCAAAATGTTTTATTTTGTGACGTTTTAAAGAAATTTCGTCTTCCTCACTGAGTACTGTTGTGCTGTAGCTGGTAGCATTTTCGATTGGCAGTCGGAAATTTGAATCATGATGAAGGCATAGCTGATTTTACATTTTCCTGGCTCAAAAAATCTTTAAAAGTCTCTACAATGGCACCAAACTAAAAAATACGATAAGTAATAATTCATCAGCACTTTGAATAGACCGACTGGGATTTGTTGCCCCCTCTCCCCAACAGCTCTTTAATTAGGAGAGTACATATGGAATATTAGCCCTTCCTACTGCATGCTATTTCTATATTACCAGTTACATAGTTTGAATGTCCGACTAGCATTGGAAGATGTATGGTTCGAATTCTGGTGAGAGCATAGATGATTTTTATGTTACATATTTTTAAGAAACCTTAATATCTCTGCAGTGGGATATGCTAGATTTCCGTAGAGCTACTCTTGCGGCTTTTATATCTATAATGAATTTTTTATGGACTATCTGAAACAAATAGTGCTAACAGAAAAACCATTCAAAAAAGTAAACATTAAAAAGAAAACTACGATTTTAAACTGCTTTTCTAACTGACACCTTTATGATTTAACCAAGATCACATGCATACCTCTGATTTTTTTAATACTTAACTACATAGCCATTTCGTGTTATGTCATAAATACGCAGAATTCTTGCAGTTTTTGTTTTAGACAAGCACATACACCTCGCTAGAAAAGTAATTTAACATTTTTAGTAGGGAAGATTTAAAAAAACATTAAATCAAGAATGCAAAAATCCTCAATTAAAAAACTGCAGAATAATCTTAAAATTTATTGGAGGTAGTGCTTACAGTTTTTAAATAAAAATTTACAGTTTCGAAAATTTCAAGCTTGTGGTACATGGAATTCCGTCAGTAGACCCTGTACTGAAACAGGGGAAAAAGGCTTGATTTTTAAATCAATGGGAAAGAGTGGTTCTTAAAATTCCAGTCTTTGAAAAGATTCAACTCATCAGAATTCTTTTTTCTCCCATTAACATAAAAAAAAATTAATAATGTGTCACTATTAGTCATACTGTGAAGGAAACGTTTATTTTAAAATTATATTCATGAAACAATCAAATTCTGTCAATGTTTTTTTATTAACTGCTCTCTTTTTTGATTTGCTATAGACCATTATTAAATTATTAAAAATTATTAAAATTAAACCAAATTTTAGGCTTTCTGCACAAAGTTTTTGGAAGAACATATTAAGTACGTTTTGGCAGTTCTTAGAAAATGGTCTCCCTTTTTTTTAAGCTTTGCATTGAAAGAGAACGGTTCTAATAAACAAAACAGCTTTCTCATCTTCATTTAACATTGTTGATATATGTGTAATTCTTTATCACAACTTGACGAACTTATAAAACTAAGTCTAAGAATTTATAAAACGACAAGATAAAACGTGCGAGACTTCATATTTGGAAATAAGTATTTCTTTACTTTACCAATTTGGTAATTTAATTTAATTACTTAAAAAAATTGAACCAAAGGAAAATAGGCATCTTAGAATTCTTCCAAATGCTTATCATCTTGACGAATATACAGTGTTAAAAATGTTTACAATGAATTTAAGGAATTAATTTATGAATTTAAATGCAGACTTTAATAAGAAACATACGTACTTATGTAATATTTAGTTTGACCATGTAAGTAAACATAATATCATTACATTACATATTTTATAATTTTGTTATTCTAGAGCTATATGGTTAAACCTACCAGGCCTAGGAACAATTGTTACAGTTACTACACTTGCTGGTTTACTAATATATGCTAAGTACCACGACTGCGATCCAATCAAAACAAAGCAAGTCAGTGCTCCCGATCAAGTAAGTATTTCATTTTAAAAATACAATTCAAGAACAATCATTTTGCTCAGTATCTTCTTATGCAATTATTAACCTTTTTGAAATAATAAGCACTTGGAAGGAAAACAAAAGTAGAGATTTTATTCAGGTAAGTTCAGATTCAGTCGCATGAAACCTTTTGCCGGTATGTTTGAAGGGCAGTATCGCAGAAAAATCAGACATAATTCTACACTTGAACTCTGCGTTGGTAAACATTGAGGAATTAAAAAAAAAAAAAAAAGAAGTCATCTTTTCTAGCAACTAAAAATTAGATAATTAATTTTTCTAAGAAATGGTATGGTTATATCCAGCGAGCTTCATAGGGGATATAAACTTCTGACTGATAATCTTTGGGATATAAACAACCGACTCTCAGGCTTATAAAACTAATGTCTCTTCAGAAAACGACATTTTAGATATTTCTTCCCGAAACGCAGCTCCAATGCGCCTGATAGAGCTTCGAAATCTAGCCTTTGGTTTTCTGGGAGAGTTTGAAGGATATCCGCTGCGTTTGCTCTCAGAGAAGCGGCGAGATGACAGGCCATAGCTTGTGAATTCCATCCGTTCGCTTCCGTCACTATTGAAAATTTTGAAAATTGTGATAGACACTTGCCCAGAGATCTTCCCATCATATGTGGATAACTTCTGGGAGGGACGAGCAGGCATGGGTAAAAATTTAAAACTATCAGAATTGCTCCCCGTCGTTGCTACGAATTTCTTTAAGGTATCAACTTATTTGGCTACTGCAGAAACCCTGTCCTCAATTTGTTGTTCCCGGGCAGAAACTCTTTTCTATTTGTTCTTTTACAGAAGAAACGCTTTCTTCTACTTGTTCTGTTACAGAAGAAACTCTTTCTTCAATATGTCCTACTTTATTTTCAACAGCGTCAATTCTGCCTTCCATAGCCTCGAATTTGTTTTCTATTACGCAGATGAGCTTCAATCTTTTCTTGAACAGCCTTCATATCTCCTTTAACAGATTCCTGAACAGCTTTCAGTCTTCTTTAACAGATACTTGACCAGCTTCCATCTTATCCTTAGCGAATTCTTGACTCGCTTTCATTTCCCCTTTAACCGAATATAGCATCTCTTTTCTAAATGCAGCAAAGGTTGCCATGAACTGTCTTAATTGTTCCTCTATAGCTCTTGTCACTGGCATTCAATCCCACTAGTGACATCAGAAAGTATTGCGTCAGTACGGTTTCGTAATAGATTGAATGCAAAAGTAATAAAACTTACTCTTATCAAAAGAAATATAACAGAACGCTGGAATTTTCCTCAGATATATTTGTACAAGTTTTCACAATATCACGTATTAATAATCAGTAGTTATCCTTCAAACTACTAAAATGTTAAATAGAATGCAGTCCCCAGCGCATTTCAAAAGAAAGCTAATCCGGTCAACAATAACAACAGCAGATAACTAAACAACTACTGAGCTGTCTCTCTCCGGCTTTTTAAAGTTTTCAATCGGTCGCGAGAGAGTTCTAGTAATTTCTTTGCTTTTCGAGATTTATGGAAACCAACAAGAGGATGGAATTACGGTTACAGCTAACACAGTAGTCAATTACATTTATTCAATTTCAATACAAATAAAAGAGATATCCATTTATTGAATGTTAAATGCACGCACTCTTATATTTTTACTTTTTCGGCATAGCTTTCTCTTCAAATTCGTTTCGCGCTGCATTGCACGGGGAAATAAAACAATTTTAATTATAATTATACTAACATTCGCTATCTAAATACAAAATTCGTAACAATATATTATTGCATTACCTACAACAATGTTCTTTTCGTTTCTTTCACAAATCAAGTAAAGTCAATAAGTTTTCAAAGTAAATCACATTCTATTCCATTCAGTAACCTAAAAGATGTATTTCTTATGTTTAGAGAAATTTTACCACAGTTATATAATGAGCTGATATTTTTTCGCTGTTAAGTTTGAAATTTGTACCTGTACCTTTTTCAAAAAAAGGTTTTGCATGTGTTGCATTTTACTGGAAACGATATCCAATTTAGTTTCGTTTGAATTGATTATTTACTAAGAGTCCAATACATTTATTACATAACTGCCAGTTCAGAATTGCTGCTGTATTTAAAAAATATCATAACCTATATGCATTTTTTATTGCAGTACCTATTTATTTGTTTAATCTTAGTTTAATACCTCTTTTTCAACCATTAAAGACTTGCAATAAAAGACACAAGTTGAATTAAATTATAAAAATTTTGCTTTTGTGCAAAAATTTAATGAAAATCAAACAATTAAATAAATAATCCCGAAACAGTCTTAAAAGTAATTTTTATACTGTTAAACACAGTGGTGAGCTATAGAAGGCTAGAGTGAACCCTTTGTTATATTTGTATTCAATTTGCAAGCTCCTAGTTCTTTGGCCCACAAACGGCCGAGCGGTAACGTCGCTGAACACTGGTAGTTCGGTCCGAGGTTCGAATCCCGCGAACGGGCTGGCTGCATGGGTGTTTTCGTGGTTTTCCCCATGTGTAACGCTTATTCACAAAGCCTACAGACCGTTTGTGCTGCTGTTTGCTCCGATTGGTTAAAACAGGAAACGTAGGGTTACAGAATCTAGTGCTTGGCTGGCGACTTTTGGTTCATCGCCTTTACAATTTGTATTTGAGCGTCGTGTACCAAAAAGTTGGCGTACTCCATCGGAGAAACCGCAGCTCAGCGGTAACGAGCTCGAGAAAAATTCTCAGGATTCTAGATCGCTGGTTCTATCCCGCTCGGCTTTTATAAACTCGCTTTGCACGGATTTATTTTTATTTAACTCTATTTAATGACTTTGTCTTTTCGCCTTCGGGTGTGGTGTTAAAATTAAAACGCCTTAGTTTTTTCTATTTTTGTTAATTTTAATTTTCTTATTTTATTTACTGGTTTGTACTTTGTAGTAGGTACCAGTACTAAGATACTATCTAAGATCCCGAAAAGCATTTCATAGAAAAAGCGCATAATGAATAAAATATAATTTTTAGATACTTAGTCATAATTTAGGTAAAAAGAATAGGTATCCGACCCCTTAAAGTTTTACTGAATGTTTTCCTTGGTTAATTTTTTAATATTCCTTATTATATAAATTAATGCGCTATGGCAATTTACACAACAGAAATGACGAAAAAGTGCATATGCTATCTCCCTGACACCTGTTTCTTGGTAAACAATTAGGTACTTCTTAAGTTTAAATCAAATACAAATAAACTATTAATAAGATCAGTAGGTTATTTAAAATATATTCCACACATTCCTCCAAGCTTCATTCATAAACTAAAAAATATCAATGAATAAACGTTTGTTTTGCGTTAATTACCACGACTACAGGGCGATAACTCGCCATTCCAAATATTACCGCCAAGCAGATGTTTCCTCCAATGAGAGCAGCCCGTAGAGAAATAGTCTGTAGGCTTTGTGAATATGCATGTGTAACGTGTATACGAGCCAGTTTCCCTTAAAACGTCCTCCAAGAAGGCATCCCTCCCTTAAGGCAGATAGCCCTCGAGTGCTTTGCCGTAATCTAATAAACCAAACCAAACCACCAACGGCTGAGAGATAAAAGTTCGCTGAACACTAGTAGTGACTAGTCCGGAATTAGAAGGCCAGCGAACAGGCTGGCTGCACGGGCGTTCTCGTCTCTTGTGTCTCGTCTCCATGTGTAACGTGTATACAAGCCAATTATCCCTCTTCTGAGGCAGACAGTCCTCAGATGCCTTGCCTTGTTTAAATTAAACCCAACTCAAACCCCCTTATTCGTTTCCGCTTGTAGCTAGAAAATGCTGCTGCTGAATGCATACGTGCCTGTATAATAAATAATTCGAACTCGCGTGGATCTCCTAAAAACTATTTAAAAATCATTTAATTGAAATTTTTTCTGGAGTGTGATGTTGGGAAGAAAATTGGAAGTTGTAATCAAGCTTCTATTTCTTTTTAACATTTAATTTAGCACACCGCAGGTTATTGTTTTTAATCAACCTTACAATTAGAAAATTCAAAGGAAACATTGATGAAGTAAATCATTTTGAATCATTCATTATCCACCAAATCAGCAGGAATTAAATTACATTTGTAAAGATTTATGTGTCGAAATATTAATAATCAACCATGCCCTTGGACCATGATGGCCGCATGCAATTTACGAATGGCTCTTGCTGTCTAAAAAATGCTTGTTGTCTAAGAAAGCTAATTTACTTTCAGACGCCGCCTGTTCGTTTCTTAAGACCGGGTGTGTGCATCAGTTGCCGGATTAACAAAATTTGTGGAATGATTAACAGTCTGATGCGCCTAATACCCATGCCTGTCTAAGGATGAATATACTCGCCATTCATTAGTCATTATGGTTCATGTCTTTGCCACGTGCTTCTTAATCAGCAGCATCAGAATCGCCGCTCATCCGTTGTCTGCTGTAAATATATTTGGATGCAGCCGATAATCCTTTTGAGATGCACCGCTGCAGGCAAGCATCTGAGTCAGACAATTTCCTTAATTGAATGAAAATAATTTCAACTGTTCATAGTTAAAATATTCAGAAAAGATGGCTAGGAAATCAGACAAAATAATTATAAACAGCCAATGTAATATTTAAAAATCAACAGAATGGTTGCTACGTCCGAGCAAGTGAATCCGTTGGGTTACCAGGTTTGAACTAATATTGTCATTATTGGCCTTATTTACATTTCCAGGTTCTTTACGGAAGTGCTTCCTGTAAAAGTTTAAATTGAATAATAACTCTTACAAATGATTTTATATGCATTGATACTTCTAAATTCCCCATTAGTTTTTAATTACAATCCTTTTGTAATCATTTTCTTTTTTTTTGATAGCACGCGCGTACCTTCATAATTGAAAATTCTTAATTATTCATTTAACTAGAAATTTTATATTTTAGTTTTTCGCGATTAAACAAATTCTTTCAAACATACCAATGAAATGATACGCGATCATACCCAAGTTTTAGGGATTTTTTAGGGAAGGGTTAATTCCCCTTAATAAAGCCAACCTCTCACTAGAAAACAGCAATAATTTACTTGCGTTTTTAGTATCTACTGTTCTACCTTATTTCTATGGATGTGCTATTTTTCGTTTTTAAAAATGTATGATTTTAATGCATACCATTACGAATTTTGAACTTCTTTTCGGTTTTTTACAAGTTGTTAATAGTTTTAAAACAATCATCTGAAGTATTAACTTCTCCTAAATTCAGTTTGCAATAGCTTTACATTTCCTTTTCTAGGATATAATCATAAACAGAAAATTAATAATTAAATTTAAAATTTACACTTTTAGTCTTAGCAGTCCATTTTTAGTCCATTTATACCTTTAATTTATTTTACTGTACTCTTTCAGTTATACATTCTACGCAAAATTTATTCAATAAATGTTTAGAATTCTAATTTTTTATCTCTGTTTAATTTCATATATTTTTGGCAAGGAAAAATATTTACTCAAAATGTTAATATTTTCATACTATATCTCTGAAAACATTTTTATTTTTAACTACATTTGGTTCACCCTGAAACATTTGGTTCACCCTGAAACATTTGGTTCTTAAAGAACTTGGCTTTTATAGTAAGAATACTGTCATTTTAAGTCTAAAAGTCCTACGAAAGTGTTTGTTATGCAATGAAATCAAACAATGATGTAAATTAATACTATCACTTTATTTTATATTTTTTTTTTCAAATCTCAAATCCGTTTTTAAAATATTCTCACTTTTGGAAAATTGAATCATTTTGTTTGGTCTCTATATCGTAAAGTCTTATGCAGCCATTGTAGTTTAAAATCTTAAAAAAACTCTAATAATTATAATAAAAAATGAAATAAAATAATTAAATAAATGTTTCTCATAATTTTCTTTATTAGCTTCTACCTCTTTTCGTGATGGATGCACTGGGAACAATGCCTTGTCTACCTGGTGTTTTTGTCGCTGGCATTTTCAGTGGAGCAATCAGGTAACTGATATAATAATAATAATGATAATAACAACAACCATTATAATAATAACAATAACAATAATAATAAGCATACTGAGAGCAGTAATTAATAATCACTGCTTTCAATACACTTAGCAAGTATTCGGCAATTCAGACGGTTCGTGCGCTGCGTGAGTTGTTATACAAACAATTCAAAATTAACGAAAAGTTGACTGTATATTGCTAATTTATTTTAGAATTATAATCGCATGCGAGCCATCTTTCCTAAGCGATGGCTTACTCATCCCACAATTTTAACAAAAAACTGAGCGAACGTTGCAGGTTTGCTGTAATGACAATACGCGCCATGCAAGGCTCCAAGAAGAGAAAACAAGAAGTAATTTTAAAGCTAAACAGTTCTCACAATTAAACACAGACTAGAAATTCTGTGTTTGAATTAAGAACGTGTTTAGATATTGAACACACGCTTGGTGAGACAATGATTTTATACTCATTTCTATACACTTATTTTAAAGTTATAAACTGCGCCAAAGAATTTAAGTATTTTAACAAAATTGAAATAAAAAGTTCGATTTTGCTAAATATAAATTTGTCTTTTTTATACACTGCTGGGGCCATTAAAATTACAGCACCAGGAAGAAATGATCTGACGAACATCAAACTCACATGAAAGGAAGAAGAAGTTGGGATATGCAAATGATTAGTATTTCACAGTGCTTAAATTGCGCCGGCTCCGGTACTTCTTAATATTTAAGATAAATTACAATTTTAGTCGGAGCGCACCGGAACCCTAAATAAGATGAACTACGGTAATTCTTTTTATAAAACTGAACCACAGTTTAAAGGGGAAAAAATTAGAATTCCTAACGTTTTAGTTTAACAAGCAGACCTTGAAGTACTCTATTTCCCTAGAAATACGAACTCATGAGAAAAGGAGACGTTCAAGTAAAGTCTCATATGCGGAAACCTTTTCCTTTAAGAAGGGCAATAAATTTGTAAAAAATTATAATGTAGGGAGTTTGTTTAGGAACGGTAAATTTCTCGCCATGCCATCGTATCTAGTGTATTGTTATCGATGCTTACAGTTAGTTATCGTCGCAGGAAGGAAAATTTGTGTTCTTAAATGTGCGTTAAGTGACAGCGAGTACAATAAGAGTGAAATACTGAGATAAACTGCTCGAGCATGTCCTATACATCGTCTTCCCACAGTATCCACTAATGGGGGGAGAGCGTAACCAGCAACTTTACATTCATCTTTAGGAGTCATATTCAGGACTCATTTTACCTTTGCCACACATTTGCTTGATGCCTATAATTATATCAAGCAAAGAGCCGCGGTCAAAGAGAACGTTCTCTCTCATTAAAAGTCTCCTCATTTTTTGTTTCCACCCACTCATATCCTCATTCTGTTTCGTCCTGGAATTTTCATCAGCTATAGTTTAAGTATATTTAATATTTGTGATGATAAAAGAGCTCCCCCCTACGATCAGAGCTAAAATTGGACCACCGGCTTCTCCGGTGCTTCTTAGTATTTGTAATAAATCATAATTCTAGCCGGAACGCACCGAACTCTGCACTTCCTAAATGCCTAAATGCGCTTCTTTTATGTAACTGAATAACAATTTTAATAGAAATTTTATCTCGAAAATTTTATTTTAACAATAAATTATATTAAAAATCGCTTATTAAATTTCAATTATCTCTTTACATTTATTTAATTTAATTATTTAATTACTTAATCGTTTCAATAAATAATAATTATCTAATTACCAATTAAATTGTAATTAATTATATAATAATTATTGATTAAATACAATTTTATAACCATTATTAAATATCTATCATTAATTTGTGATAATAATTAACTATTTAATTTTAAAATTATTAATGAGTTTCATAGTCATTTAATTTATTTATTTACTCTTGTTCCTCTTTGCTGACGGTCTTCCATAGGACTCCGGCACTTCTAATCTTAGAAATTAAGCCGTGGTATTTCAACGCATTTAGACGACGAGGAGGGAGAAAAGACATCAGAAGCACTGCATAAAAGAACATTTGTGTAGAGGATTTCTCATTCGGAAAGTGCTTTGTAAGGTTGGAGTTTGCTCAGAATATTGTGTTATGCCTCGAATAAGAAGAGGAAATGCTAACCAAAAAGTTTCGAAATTTGATGGAGGCAGGATCGTTGCCTATCAAAAGTATAGATTATCGTTCCGTGATATTGTCAGTCTCACTGGTCGGATCCAACCACTGTCATGCGAATATGGAATCAATGGATTGCTGAAGGTCGTACTGAGCGGCATGCCCTCCTATGACTGCGCCAAAGAGGACAGACATATTATGAGTCTGTCCCTGAGAAACCTCACGATCACATCATGAACCATTAGTCAGGAGATGGGCATGTTTGCAACACCCCCAAGTATCAGCTCGTAAGGTGCGTCGACGTTTGCAGCGGAGTGGACTTTTTAGCAGGGTGACCATTACTTCGGCTTCCCTTGACGATGCAGCATAGAGAGAAACGGCGACTCTGGTGAGGCAAACGACAAAGCTGGGTATAGGAGTGGCACAATGTTGCCTTTTCAAAGGAGTCCCGGTTCTACGTGAAGTATTCTGATGGTCGTATAGGTGTCTGGAGTGTTCGAACGTCGCCTGCTTGCACTTGATATGGGTATGTGGCACCTGCACCTGGTGTGATGGTTTGGTAAGCCATTGGGTACACGACACGCCCATCTCTAGTTCGGATCCACCGTAATTTGAACGCATCTGAGTACATTTCTGACATCTTACGTCCAGTAGTTGTGCCCTATCTTCGAGACCCCAAACGGCATATTCTAACAAGATAATGCATGTCCACATGTGTTTTGACATTTTCGATACACAGGATATTCAACTGCAACCCTGGCCTGCACGGTCTCCAGATCTGTCACCCATTGAAAATATTTGGTCATCGGTTGCTGAAAGTTCTATTCTTATTCTATTCTTATATTCCTTACCTGTACATTTAGAAATAAATATCCGAAACACTAGATAGTGTTGTTACCACTCGCATAAGAGACTAGTTTAAAATTAATTTTATTTATCTGGACTTCATAAGAAAATTTTTTGACTAATGTTATTTCATAACATAATGGTGATAAATAAAATACGTTGTATCGAAGGGAAATTTTGCTACTCTACTTCATTTGTGCACTGCCGTCTGCGTCCGAAAGAAAATCGAATGATGACAATGAAATTTCGTCGTAGCTCATAGATTACGATCTTCTGTCTATATTTCTTTTCTTAATTTTATCCACATTGTAATACACATTCCTAATCTTCTGATAGTTTTCCGTTTAGTTCAGAAAAGATACAGAAAAAGAAGTGGAGAATTCTGCAAGTGAAATTATGCTTTAGTTGAGTTTTAATTTTATTCAACAGAAAAAAAAAAAAAAACTTAATTTTATTAGTTGGCAACAGTAGCTACTATTTTTATTTACAAAGAGAAAAGAAATTCTTACTGGGTTTCTTTATATTTTTAATATTTTTATATATTTAATTTTTTTCCCTCAGTTTGGTGTTTCAAAACTTAATCTTGCGATTAAAATGCATCTATTTCGGTACCGTTTAAACTGTAGTTCTGTATTGTATTTAATAGCTGCAAAGGCCCTAAATGATGGAAAGGTAAATGTCAAAAAAGCTTAAAAAAGAAACAAACAAACAAAAAGCGAAAAGAAAAGCAAGACTGATGAGAAAAACTGCATTAAGATTTTAATTCGATTTAAATTCAGTTTATGTGCCTGTAACTTTCTTCTATTATTCGGCAAAATTAAAATTTTATGTTTAGTACTAAATCTGCGAAGTAAATTTATGCAAATAACAGTAAAATGCCATTTGGCTCCTGTATCTAAACTACTTATGCTCGCATCATTTATGCGACTTTTGTTAAATAACTCTGAAATGGATCTGAAACACTGAAATGGATAAAAGAAGAGAACTGAAAGTAGTAAAATAACTTTTCCTTTCCTCTATTTCAGACAGACTCTTGAGCATGAGTCTGTTGAATACCTGTTTTACATACTTTTGCTATAAAGCAGAGACAGCTTGGAATTTTAATTATTTTTCAGTTGTGTCTTAACTGTTCTATGACTTGTCTGCATAATTAATTCTACTCTGACTGTAAATCATATGTAATGCTTTCATTACGCAAAATATTGAAACTTCATTTTATAACAACATGTAATTTAATGTGCACCTGGTAACAGCCATTTCTTGTTCGAAGCTTTGAGTGTCAGGTCGGACGTAGTGAACCGACAATGCTGAATGATTAAAAAACCGTGAAACATTAGCTAAGAAAATTTATCAATTTCTTCTGACCTATTCTTTCAAAAGAAACAAAATGCATGTTAGTATTTTGTATGATTCATGATTTTTCCTTTTAAATAGAGGAAAGGAAAAGTTACTTTACTACTTTCAGTTCTCTTCTTTTATCTGCGAAGAAGAAAGTAATGGCTTCCTTTTTTACAGGTAAGTGTGGAAAAGAATAGAAAGGAAGAGGAAAATGAAATGCAATTAACTTGAAATGAATGAAATTTTGACTAAAAGATAGCCGACTCTGAAGTCTGATTCGCCAAAATTTAAAAAAAAATATATATATATCAAAATCTCTGTGTGTTTAAACCTGTCTTCAGTGAGAAGAAGGTAATGTACATGCAGGAAGAAATGAATTAGATAAAATATTGACATCGGGATATTCAGCTTCGTAGAATTTAATTTAAATATGTATATATATATATAATGGGAAGGTCTGAAGGTATTGATAATAAATTTGGCAATACTGGTTTTGTTTGGTTAAATTGATTATGGCAAAGCACACTAGGGCTATCTGTCTAAGGGGAGGGATGCTTTCGTGGAGGACTTTCTAAAGGAAACTGATTCGTATACGCCTTACACATCGGAAAACCGCGAAAGCACTCACTCAGCCAGTTCATCTGGAATCGAACCCAGATCGGAACTACCAGTGTTCAGTGATCTCACTACACGGTCGCTGATGGGCCCTGGCAGTACTGACTGTTGTATTTTGAAACTATGAGTAATATATGAATAATCGGATTTCGGTTAGAATTATTACGCAGAAAATAAAATTTGAGAGTTGAGAAATTATCAGCAGGAGCTAAATACAACAAGGAAACTAAAACATTCAACATCGTTTATTAGTTTATGGAACAAGGAAAGAATAGAAAGTTTCTGTCTTGAAGAAAAAGAGGGAATAAACTATGCCGCTTTCTTTAATAGTGTAATGCTTGTGGAGAAATTGTAGCATTTCCAAAATTCACAACAGGATTCATAGTGTTGATATTTATATATGAAGTCGCTTTATAGCTTTCCTTACTGCGTTTAAAAGCAAAATGCAGTAGCTGGACTTCGTGAACTTATGCAGAAAATTGATTTTAAGTGTATCGAAAGACTTTGAAATTTGTTTGTGACCCCGCTTACCTTGACTTTCCACCCAATTTTGATTGCCTGATGAACTCAGTTTGTATCAGTACTTACCTTATTCAACAATTAGTAACTGTAGTCACAAAATACGACTCTAATAATTATAACAATTAGAATAGCGAACTACAAATGCAAGAAACAACATTTGATACTAGCTATACATCCACCACTGGCTGGTACTTGCGCAACTAGTTGCGCGTGCATATACCTGCATAGTAGTTTACGTACGTAAATTAGTTCACGTAAGTAGTGCAAAATCTCTCTAATATACTACTATCTCGATTAAATTCAATACATTTGACATGAACTTTTAAACCCTTATCACACACGATATTTGTTGCCGGAACAAAACGTTTGGTGGAACAGTTCTGAGAAAAGCTCTTTGGCGAAATAGGGTTACCATCTTCACTTGGTGAACAGGCTGAGAGCTAAACAAGAATCAGTTATCGCTCAGATTGGCGAAAGTGACGTTTCCTTTCAAGGACGTTTGCTTCTTCGTGTTGTTTTGTATCGCTCACACTCTTTCGATTTAAACTTATTGTTAGTAGTGGAAGATAATAGAAAGGTGATTGCCATCAAGTTATCACTTGATTCTCCACTCTGGTACTTCAAGTAAACAGATAAACACACTTTGGGTATAGCAATCAATACATCAGTAATAGCCAAATTCTGTATACTAAGAAAGTTTAAAACGTTTGTGCTGGATATAAAGTCATTTATCAGACATTATTGTGTATTTTCTGTTGTCTGCTTTACAATGAAAATTTGATGGCTCACTTGAAATTTGTGACCTGGTGAAGCATTCGACTTACTTATGGCTCATAATAACTGTTTTGTCCATTAAAAAAAAAAAAGACCTTTTATGACAAAAATCTATATGGCTCATATTTACATCCTCACAGCCAGCAGATACTATTCAGCAAAATGAAGATCAAATAAAGTATATGAATACGTGAGCAATCAAAACGTGTGCGAGTTGTTTACTGTCCCATAGAACGCTCGGTAATACATTTAAAACACATTAATTATACCAACTCTAGAAATTAGGTGGTGCACATCATGAGTTCTAACCTGAGACAGAACTACCAGTGTTCAACGACGCTTCGGCCACTAGTAGGCCCGCGCACTTATTGGAAAGTACAATTTATTAAAACAAACTGAAGGTGATAATCAGTTGGCATGTTTAAGTAATCAAATGTTTAAAAATGCACAGCTGTACATTTTATTTATTAGTCATGTTTATATACGTAGATCATACATGCGATATAATTATGAATTAACCCATACAAAAAATGTATGCACTCTTTAGTACTCAAATGCTTATCAATTATTTTCAATGATTATATATATCCATAATAATTGCAAAGAACTGATGACTAAGTTGCTGCCAATACATGATCGTATAGAATTAAAGTAACTTCAAATAAAACTTTTTGGCAATTTTCATTTTTGTATTGATACATATATATACACATCTAATAAGTCATATATTTACATACAGATAGAGAGATGCGATGGTTTAGAAGTTGTTAATATATATTTATTAGTATTAATGCAATGAATAAGATTTATATTAATGAATATATATAAGATGTTTTTCATCAGACATAATAATAATCCATAATTTCCAATTTTTCAATATGTAGCATTTACAATAAAAGTATAGTTTCTAATGTATTATAATTCAAAAGTATTTCATTAATAACATGAAAATAATAGACAAATTTAATGAGTATTCTCATTATTACATAAGCTATGCTTTTCTTTTTTTATGAATCTTTCTTTTATGCTGTTTAAAATGTGTCACTGATTATGCAATAAAAAATTTAAAAAATAAGTAATTAGGAGAAAAGCCGCGCATATACAAACGGATTTAAAAAAAATATTCAACTTAAATTTAAGAAATAAAATGCTATTATATAACAGTGATAATGCACGATCAGCACGAAATACGACAAATTTGGCGACGAACAATTCGTAAGCAAATCAAGAACGTCGTAAAATACTGTCAACTCTGAAATTTCCGCGATTATATATTTAATGAATATATAAACATTTTTAAAATGACTCGGGCAGTTATTACAACAAAACAGCAATAATTAAATCGGCCTCTATTTCCACGTCTATGACTCACAGTGAGAGCCATCGCCATATTGAAAGTTTACCCGTGATCCTTCAGAAGCAGAACTTTCGTCTGATTGGTTGAACGTTTTCGAGGAACACGTCTCCAGCAGGAACATTTTCGGAAAAGTTTTAAAATGTTGCTCGTAGCCGGGACATGTTCCCCCTAGCTAGGCGAAACATTTTTGGAAGCCTCCCCAGAGTCGTAGCTAGGGTTTTCAGCGCCCAGGGACGACTGAAGATTTCGCGCCCCTACTGCTTGCCAAGGATGGAAAACATTTAATTCTAAAATGTCGTAACATCAGTTTGGTGCCCCTTGGATTCTGCACCCGGGGACAAATGCCCCCCTTGCCCCCCTCTGGCTACGCCCCTGAGCCTTCCGCTTAAAGCAGTGCTACTACAATCTCGTTTCTCGGAATTGTCCTGCGTAGCCGCGCGCGTCCGTAGAAGTGATAGCCTCTTTACGAGTATCAGTTTTCTATATTATAAAGTATAAACTAAACTCAGAGGCGCAAACAGCCCTAATGGGCCAAGGCCTGCAGTGCCCCGAAATCTGCTTTCTTGACCGTGAGCCCCGGGGTGCGTAAGCATATGCCCTGAACAAGTGGTCAGCTTGGGTCGCAGGACCCCCCTCCCAGTGTTTGGTCCTCAAGCGAACTTGGTACTCATTTTATCGACCCAAGGGATGGAAATCAAGTGATCAAAGGCTGAGTCGAACTTGCCCAGCCCGGGGTTAGAACCCAGGAACCGTGGTGCTGCTGTGCGATGCGCTAGGCACTGAGCCACAGGGCCTCATATTATAAAGTATATATTATATAATAATAAACACATTAATAAATCTCATCCTGCAATGCGAACTTAAAATAAATATACTTTTAATTATTTGAATAATTCATAATTTATCCATTATCGTTAAAAGCAATTTGCTTTAAATTTCGATTTTTTTTTTTTTTTTTTTTTTTTTGTTCATTTTGATGGTAACGCAGGGCCCGATTGGACCCAATCGCCCTTTATCCGGCCCTGCCTGAAATTTATTAAACGGATATTGATTCAACTCCATCCGTTATTCGGTAGATGGGGGCCACTGTAGTGATTCGCTTTTAATCGTTCAACAAACTTAACAGGAATTTTTTTTTAAATAGAGGAAATAAAGTGCTTAACATTACTTAAATTGTTTACATGTTATGAATTTGTCATATTTAGGATATAATGACGCAGATTTATTTGTTTTAACTGTAATAAATTTTTGCCCCAGTATCTTTTTACAAGTTTTTTAGCATTAAACTCAGATCTTGAATTCCACTAGAGCCCGGTTCCGGCCCTTCTTAGTTTTTGGGATAAATCATAATTCTTGGCGGAGCGCACCGGAGCCCTAAATAAAAAGGCTCCGGCATTTCTTTTACGTAACTGAACAACAATTTCAGTAGGAATCTGATCACGAAAATTTTATTTTTTGCAATAAAATTGTATTAAAAATCACTTATTAAATTTTTGTTTATCTCTTTACATTTTATGAATTTTTTAATCATTTAAATAAATAATTATAAATTAATTTCGTCTAATTAAATAATAATTAATAAATAGTAATTATTAATATTGATTAAATAATAATTGTTTAATTTTAAAATTATTAATAATTTTAATAGTCATTTTATTTATTTATGTACTTTTCTTCCTCATTGCTGACGGCCTTCCATAGGGCTCCGGCACTTCTAATTTTAGAAATTAAGCCCTGATTAAACTGCTAACGTAAAATTAAGAAATCATGTAAAAACTGTGTTTAAATACTGCCTCTAATTATTATTGTTTTTTCCCCCAGCACTGTATCTTCAGGAGTAAATTCTTTAGCTGCTGTTACACTAGAAGATATCGTGAAGTCCTATGTGAAACCAGATATATCTGAAAAGTGGGCAACGAGATTAGCGAAACTTTTAGGTCAGTTGAACTCTGAATGTTTCGGGGGAAAAAAATGAAGAAAAATATATTGTTTTGTGTCTTTTTATATTTCCTTTGGTTTATCTACAGCATTTAGAAATTATAAAAAGTAAATTTTGCTTTCTTTCTTTATTTTTTATTGTAGTGGTTAAATCAAAATGACAATTTATTTTTATTGTCGTATGTATATATGAAAATTTCTAAGTATAATCTTATTTTTATGTTTGTATTCAAGGAGGTTAGAATAAATCTAGAATGTTAGAATCTATTCTCATCTCCCCTTGTTTGTAACATTTTGCAATCTGAAGTGGTGTCGAGGTTACAATATTTTTTTTAGTAGATCAGAATGGCAACCAAAGGTGGAAAAAGGGAAAAGGAAAATTCGAAACATTCTAAACAAAATGTATAATTACTGATGTTTTTTCCCGAGAATGTTTCTTCAATCTTCACTATTGCGCTGCGTCGTTTTACTGGACTCACGCTGTCAACGGTCGATAAAGAAAATCAATACTTGTATAGGCCTTCCTACCTAGGCTCTGGTCTATACAAGTATTGATCTTCTTCCTCGACCGTTGACAGCGTGCAGTAAAATGGCGCGCAATAGGGAAGATTGAAGAAACATTCTCGGAAAAAAAGTTGAATGTTTCTTTTAACTAAATAAGAAGGTGAATAATTATTATTTTTGGAAGGCTGCTACCTGTAGCTATAAAACTGGTGCCCAGCGTAGTTTTATAATGACATCATGATAGAGGAAAGAAATAGAAATTCTGTTTTGAAAATGGAAAACTACGATTTAATCCTAGTATACGGCACACACGGGGATTTGAAAGGGTTTTCATCCGCAGAGAAACCGTTGGCGCCGTTGCATTTTTACTCGCCAAGAGGATGAGCCGAGTCGTAAACGTGATATTTTGTAAACGTCAATTTTAGTGCATGTAAATTCAAGTTAGCAGACAATGGTAATAAAAATTCACAGATAATAAGCATGTAGATGTAAAACTAACCGGTTAAACGTGATATACGAAAATAAATTTGTATTAAATTCAACTTAGCACAGAAAACAATATATTAAACATAACGGGAAGTAAAAATTCATTTAAAAAATAAAAATTAGTATTCTTATACTTACGTTTACATTATACTTATATGGTATTTTCTTTAATTCATATAGAATACTAATATTTCTATTACAAGTGTTCTTTTTTCATTTAAGTATTTACGGTTGAAGATGCCATTTCGCTTAAGAGCATGTAATAAATTAATTAATGAATGCATGACCTTTAGTACATCCATTTTACAAAAAGTTTTCAGTAAAATATATATATCTTTTTCAAGTTAACTTGCATACAGCTTAAAGCATTTTACGTTGAAACAAATACCAGTCTTTTTCATAATATATTTCACAATACAAATAACCTTCAATAGTAATCAAATTTTCTTCGGTAGCAGCATTGTTAATAAAACTAGAATTCTATACATTTTATTATTTTTCAAGAGTCATTTGAACTGTACTTCCTTACACCAGCAGTGGTTTGCTAATTTTGATGACCATGGGAATGCATCAAACTATTCTGTCATCTTAGATAATCTATAATAGTTTTTATTTCAATTTAATCAGCTATTTATGTCACACCTGCCATCCTCTGAAAGGTTATTGTTAGAAAAGCATTAACAATATAGTATCTTGTTAAAATTTTACGCCATAAAAATTGATTTATTCTCATAATTTTAGATGACAATAACCAATAATAAAAATAAAAGCATTCCTTAATTATTTAAATTGCACATTTTTGCGGCCTATGAAAACAAATTATTTTAGGGGTTGGAAACCTCATGGTTCTGCGTGCTTACAGCTGTTAATAATTATGAACACAACGTGAACAGCCGTGTTACAAATTAGCATTCACACCTCCCGCCATATTTTCTTCCTTTCATCCCGAACTGACGAGCTGAGAACCGGCATCATTCGACGAAAACTTCTTTAATTATACGAAAATATTTGTCTATTCGTTGTTAAAAAAATTAGAAAAAAAAAATAATAATAATAAGACAAGAATAATATAAATCTCCAAATGTGAACAACAACCTTCGAACAAGCGAATAGGATGAATCGGCTAGGTTACCAAGTTTGAACTATTATCGCTAAAGTTGGTGATATTTACATTTACCGGGTTCTCTGCGGAAGTGCTTCCATTTGAAGCAGTAAACGCGGTATTTATGATCAGTAGTATTGATCTATGTTGAAAATTATGGGGCGCAATGAATTGGAAGTTCATCTGTCAGCACTATCCTTATCTTCAGGGCAGATGTTTTTATTTTATTTGGCTTATAATTCCTTACTAAATGTAGTATTTCATCTCGATGTACTCAGTCTTTGATATGATTTAAATCAAATTCCTCGTCATTATAATTCGCTTCCGATAGTGAAGAAAGTGACACAGAGGTTATTGAAAACGAAAAAATTTCGATTGACAAATTAGTCTGTATTCTCGACACAGCAATTATAATTATTATCTCCAAATTTAAATTTTAAACCATATCTTCTTCCATATGGCAAAGTTTTATGGTGTAATACTTCAACATGTAATATTAGACTGTACATATCCTAAACTTACCGGATGAAAATAGTCACACAGAATCAACCCTTAAAGAATTTTAAGAAGATTCAGAAGAGTTCATATTGATCTTGTCAGCTCATTACTTGCACTGAATGGCTGTATTTATTACAAGTTAGATGGAAGTTATATTATTGAACAAACATCTTGGCAAACATTGTAGCTAAAGCTTTTTTCAATAATTAGATAACAAGATTCAGAACACCTGCTCAAGTAAACATTGACCGTGGAGCTCAATTTAATTCTGACACTTTTCAAGCCCTTTCTAGAATCTGTGGCATTTGGCTTCAACACACTATAGCCTACTACCCGCAGTGAAAAGACTTCACAGATCGATTAAAACAGCCTTAGAAGCTCATATAATAACATTAGAGCGGAACTTTACCGACAGTGCTTCTGGGTATTCGTATGACAGTACAAGAAGATAGTAACTACACAAGTGCCAAAATGAGTGCAGTGAAAATGTCAAGCTTCCAGATGAGATTTTTGATGAAAATTTCATTCACACCATATCTATACATATAACACAACCTTGCTGAAAATGTCATCCTTACCAACCTTCATGAATAAGGAGCAAAGTCAAATGCAGTCATTCAGACACAAAAATTTAGCATAAATCTACTCAGGAAATATTTGTACATAAGGATTTGCAGTCAATTCTCACGTTTTCCTTCGTATTAGCAGAGTTCGCAAACTGCTTGAACCACCTTATGTAAGTCCTAGGTTATCCACCAATCTGATAAATGCTTTAAAATTCAAATTAGAGGTAAAGAAGTCAGTATATTTATGGATAAGTTAGAACCTGCTTATATTATTTCAGAATGCTACAGGGTTATTTCTGAAACAACAATTAATGATCCATATAAACCAGTAACTACAGGTAACAATTTTGATTTGTCAGCACCAAGAACAACTCAATCCACCACAACTATGCCAGTTGTTGGGCAGTTTCAATCTGGTAGAACTAATAAACTTCTATGATTCAGAGACTGACAGAATTATTAAAAATAGCTTCACTCTATTATTATTTCCTCCCTTGGAAAATTGTCAATTTTTTCCTTACATACATATGCATATTTTTAAGTCTCTCTCTTTTTTTAAAGTTTGTAATACTTTTTTTGTAATTTTAACAGGTGTTGAGATTATTATAATTTTTTTTAGTAACTGAGAATGGCAAAGCGATTATTATTTTTGAAATGAAAATTTTATTTTATGTGATAATATTTAAAGGCTTAATTTTATTTCAGCATTATCATATGGGGTGGCTTGTATTGTGCTGGTTGCGGTTGTGGAACGATTAGGTGCCATACTTCAGGTAATTTTTAAAATAATTTTTTTGTATTGGGAGTCGTCAAGTAAATCTTCTTTAATAACAATAAACAATGATTCCGTCTAAGTGTAATCAGCTTTTTAATGTTAGTTTTTCCTTTTCATTTATAATTTTTTGCTATAACTGAACTGTCACTGCCTTTTGCACATTTCTGTAAACTAATCACCAATTATTTAATCACATTAAAGAACATCAGACTGTATTTTTGGCTGTAATTTTATAAAATCTATTTTAATGCACCTTTTTTACAGAAACTGCTGATTTTTATTTTTCATATGCTTCTTTTTTCAAACCATTCATTATTAATCAAATTAAATAATTTTGGTTGCAGTTAATTTTGTTTAAAGATAGTTCCAATACATTGCAGTTTTCATATATTTGTTGAACTTTTACACTGTAAGAGATTTTCAGATGACTAAAAGACACAAAATAGAACTTGCAAATTGTCTTGTAATACGTTGGGAATTCTTATTAATATTATGAGCATTAAGGCTTATCAATTAATATATAAATAAATTACTATAAGCAAGCATGTAAGAAAAAGTAATAAAATGAATGTCTTTTAAATGAGTCTGTATAGGAAACTTACAATCATATTTTAAAACACAACAAAAATTGCTTCTGAATTACTGGTTATATGTATCTAGCTTCTATAAATAACTAATATTTATGATACTTGAAAACTTAATTATTATTTACATACATTAATGCAGATTTGAATAATGTTAACTGATATAATTCCAGTTATCTTTGAGTGTATTTGGCGTAATTGGCGGACCTGTTCTTGGAGTATTTACTTTGGGTATATTTTTCCCTTGGGCAAATGTTAAGGTAAATTATCTTATGTATAATTATAGCAGACTGTATAATGTGTTTTTATGAATTCATAAGCTATGTTATGGTAATGATTATATACATTTTTACTATTGAAAACTTTCAGAGTATGAATCATTCAAAAGCTTTCACCAAATACTTTTCTTTTATGTTATTTGCATATAAAAATCATGTTTATGGATGATCTAAATTTACAAATTATATTGAAGTTTTAAGATGTATTGTGCATTGAAAGCACAAAAGTTTTGATTGCTCCAAAATATATATATATATATATATAATATATATAAAATTTCTGTTTTGCCTAGGATAAATGTTATAAAGTAATTGTAGGAAAAAATATCACCCGGAATATAAGAAACGGAAAGAAGAGCACTGAAAATTAGGAAACGGAAAATAAGTCACCATTTTTTTGCAATGGGAAAAATAAGGAAAGTTTAGAAATATCGCCAAGATGGGAGATAAAAGTTTTATCACAACAACCATACCTTTGGAGTAGGGAAACCTTCTGACAATGATTGAAAGAAGATAAGAGAGTTGCTGGCCTGTCCGATGGTAAAAATCATGGAGGTAGGAAACATGGAGGTAGGAAAGGGAGGAGGGGCCATTCCGCGCTAGAAGTGAAGCACTGCTTTGAAGCTTGGGTCACCAGACGGGGTGTTCTTTGTTTACATTCAGAAGCTCGCTTGACAAGATTCTGATAGTATTTCGACACACGACAGTTCCATAGAAATCGAAAAAGGGACACTCTCGCATGAAAGAAACATTCATAGTGTGATGGATAATAGCAATTTGTATAGTTTAGTGACATTTACGCAAAAATCACATCTTGGTTATTTTTCGATAACTAACAACAGCGATTTTGATTATGAATTTGTTTTATAAAATTATAAGCTGTTGCACTACAAAAATATAGATTTTAAGAAAAATGTTATGCTTAAAGAATGAAAAATACCTTACGGTACATTTAAAGTTGTATACGTCTTTCGGTACCTTTGATAGAGTATTCGCTACTTTTATTTTATGTTCCAAACGTCAAATGTTTTAAATAAAACAAATTTTTTTCATGTCCATATATTATTGTAACATGTACCTTTTAAAATTTTTTAGAGGAGAGGCTTTACTGCTGCTCATTTTAAACCCATCGTTTTAATTTTATATATCTGAAAAATAATCACTTTGGGCTTACACGTTTTATAAATATAAAATTATGTATGTTAAAATATTTGTAATTAGGCACATAGGTTAGATTAAATTTTTATTAAATAGAGTAACGCATGCAAGGGCTATCTGCCTAAAGAGAGAGATGCCATCGTGGAGGAATTTTGAAAAAAAAAACTGACCTTTGAGTGGCTATTAAAAATAATACTTATAATTTTCATTCAAATTATATTCATATATATTTTTTATGTAAAACTTTCGGGTGTATGCTAAATTAGTGTAAATTACTCTACACGAAAAATATAGTGAATGCACAGAAATTAAAGATTTGCACATGCCGGAAATGAAAAATAGGAAATATGTATGGTTATTTATGCATGTGCTTGCAAAAAGCATGTATCTGCCTTTGACAAAATACTTAAATATTCATTAAATTATTTATAAATGTATTTGAAATGAAGAATTTATTCACTTATAAAACAACTGTGAAAGTACTGTGAAGAAATCTAATTATTAAATGTATCTAATTTATAATGATTATAAATGTTATCTAAATATATAATAACCTTAATATTGAATTGTAAACATAAATTGAAATCCTGTTGACAAATACGTTATAAAACTATTTAAGCAAGAATTGTTCGTATTGGAAAGCAATCTGTTAAAAGGTATTGTAAAGCAAATTCTATGAGATGCGCACTTAAGAACGTAATAAAGAGTTTTGGAATATGTATTGTTGAAATGAAGGGTAAAAAAAAATCTGATAAGTATAATTAAAAGAATTATTTCCCTTACATTTTATAATAACTCGGTTACAAGTTTTAAATAATACTTAACTTATTTTATTCCCTTTCAGAAATGTTCAGAGAAAGTCAAGTACTATTTAATACCTATTTAATTATTAGGAATTAGCGAAATACTTATTTAAAGTATTTCGCTAATTCCTAGTAATTCTCTAATTTAAAACGAACCAAATAGAGCATTAATTATAAATTGACTTACATTTTTCGATTTAAAAGATGCCTCAGAAGCCAAAAAATCATGTCATATTTAAGAAAGTATTTTAGGAAGAAGCTCTATAAATAGAAAAGAAATAATGCATAATTTTAATATTAATAATACAATAAACTTTGATCTTAATTTTTGTACCTTAACCGAATAAAATCGAATTACCTTAACTTTTTTTCTAATGTAATTAACGAAAACTTGTGAAAATATTTCATTCAAACTAAACCATTCTGAGAAAACTGTCCTGTGAAAAGTATAGCATTTAATTCGGTTCAGAATGAAATGTTGTTTAAAAATATATGTTGTTTTCATATACTTAGGACTCTGAAGTGTTGTAGAAAAAGATACATTTATATGTATATTTACGACGTAATAACAAAATATTTACATCCGAACGCGTCAAATCCCATTGAACTCAATGGTAAATGATCCAATGTTTTGGTCACCACGTAGGGATCGCCGGTGCTTCAGAGCAGGGTACGGGAGAAACTTGTTTAGGGCGACTCCATCTTACTTCCATAACTCCATGGTAAAAATAGAGGGCTGACCAGTCATTATCATTAGTGATTCCTCCCCTCATACCGCATGTAGTTATAGCCTTAAGCTGTGGTTTAAGGGTGAAACTTTGTCACATAATTGAATAAGATTTTATCCGAGCTTTAAAAGCAGTATTATAACAAACCGTTGTAGATGCAATTTAGTGACGTTTGCGATAAGCACATTACTTAATTCTTAGCTAATTAAGTGTCGCATAATTATTTTTTTATGATTTGATTTTAATTAAAAACAATGTATTTGCACTGGAAACAATTACTTAATTTTGCATTTAAGTCTGAATAGGAAAACAAGAAAAGTACAGTTATTAAAAATTAAGAGGTTTATTTCAAAATTATATTAAAAATTTAAAATCTAATTAAAGTGAATCCTATAGACACGAGATTGGGATTTAAACATTTAATATATAATGTGGTTCGTTGTGTATTAAATATTTAACTCCAAATCTTCCAAAAGTGACGAGTATTTCCTAGAGTAGAAATAAACACTTGTACTGAGCATTACATCTGTACGACGACCACCTCCACCGAAGACTAAAATAACTAGAAACGTGGATGATCGCCTTAGAGAGGATTTACTATATTTTACAATGAACCAGTGCGTGATCCACCCAGATCCGGACCATCTAGTAGCCCATACACGGTTAGCGACCACCTTCCTAAGACAACCACTTCCTAAAGTGACTAGCATTTCTAAAAGTGTAAGCAAACAGTTGCACTGAACATCATCTCTCTAAGATGATCCCCTCCACAGAATTCCAAAAATCAACTAGAAATATGGATGGATATCTTAGAAAGGATTTTTACTCATATAATAGTTACATTCATGACAATTATGTGTAAAGCTTAAGGAAAGTTATGAGCGGCTGAACGGTTAAATCGCTGAATACTGTTAGTTATACCGCTGAATATATAGACCTCGGTTCGATTCCGAGAAAATTCCCCATGTGTAACGTGTATACGAGCCAGTTTCCCTTAGAAAGTCCTCCACGAAAGGCATCCCTCCCCTTAGGCAGATAGCCCTAGTGTGCTTTGCCATAATTAAATACACACACGATTCCTAGAAAAGAGGCTGGCTGCATGGGCATTTTCATGGTTCTTCCCGCATATAACGTGGTTACGAACCAGTTTTCCTTAGAAAGCTCTCCACGAAGACAGCCCTTCTCTTAGGCAGATAGTCTTCGTGCTCTTTGTAATAATCAAATAAACCAAGCCAAATTAAGGAAACTTATTCATTTTACTCTCTAAATTGAGCTCCAAATAAATCATATGTGAGAGCTTTTCGTATGCAGAACCTAAAACGTATCAGAACGGAAAATTAAATAAATTTAACTATTTAACTTGGTTATGCAGAATTTCAATTTTTAGTTTATCCCTAGTTTCCAAAAATCTGAGCATGAACAATCATGAAATGAAACATAGACATTGAAATTAACTTTGAAATTCAGAGAATAACTTTGATGACCTTCGACCACTAGCAATGGCAGATAATCTTAGGGTACTTTGACATAACCTAAAAAATCTGATTTGATGATCATGCTAATCTACTTTCATACTGAGGCCTGTGTTGCTTTAATTATTGTTTTATTTATCATAAACTGTGTTAACTGCTTTAATTTAACCATTTCAACAACTTTTCTGTTAGATTTTCTTTTTAAAATTTTGACATCATTTCAAAAGCCTAAATATGCCTGATCGTTTTAGTAAGACATATTATTTGTAACTGTTTTACATGTAAGTACAGCGAATCTCATGACGACGAATTCTTAGAAGTGTTTCCTACAACATAAATAAACAGGCTTTTATACATTTGCCTCGCTAATGCATCCATCTATATAAGTGGCTCAAATCGCTTGAAGCCGCAGTGGTCGTATTAAAAAAATGTTGTTATATTTGCATTTTTGTGGCATTTAATGATTTCAGTTTATTTAACATGTCTGCCTCATAAATTATAAGAGGCCCACCAGCGGCCGAGCGGTAAAGTCGCTGAACACTGGTAGTTCGGTCCGAGGTTCGAATCCCACGAACGGGCTGGCTGCATGGGCGTTTTCGTGGTTTTCCCCATGTGTAACGTGTATACGAGTCAGTTTCCCTTAGAAAGTCCTCCACGAAGGCATCCCTCCCCTTAGGCAGATAGCCGTAGTGTGCTTTGCCATAATTAAATACACCACCACCATAAATTATAATATTGATTTTTCAAGATGTATAACAACTTTCAATATAAGTTAGAATAGTAATAATCTTTTATTATTGTATTCGTTTGAAAGCGTTGAA